CGTACAGCCCGTGTGTTGTGTGTGTTGTGTGTGTCGTGTGTGTCGTGTGTGTTGTGTGTGCCGTGTTGTGTGTGCCGTGTTGTGTTTTCTTGAGTTAAGCGGCTCACGTGAGATGTCGTCCATCGACCAGTCAACTTCGGCTGCCCGCAGAAGTGCGCGCGCAAGGGCAACTTCGGGGCGTACCTCCTCCACAACTGGCCGCTCATGGAGGCCATCGGTACTCACAACGCCCGTCACACCGCTCATTTCACGCCTTCGGCTGTTTGCTCAATATGCGGCCTCGTCTTGCTCTTCCTTCAGTGTCGACACTACACAAGAACTTGTCGATCCCCGTGTGCTGTAAGGTGCGCTTTCCTCGCCTCGTAATGCACTTCTCATTCGTCAATCACACACACACACACACACACAACCTTCTCTGTGCTAATGTCGTATTCATTTAGATCCGATTGCTTCCCAAGCTGGAGGACACCATCAAGCTCGCTCTCGTCCTCCAGAACGCCGGCTGTCAAGTGACGTCCCCCCCCCGGTCCCCGCCTGAACAATCGCTTCGTTTTCGTTCTTTCGTTCCTTCTCTTACTTCTCTTCTCTTTTATTTTTTTTTATTCACTATTTTTATTTTTATTTTCTACAGGTGCTGGCGGTGCACGGCCGAACACGGGAGAGCAACAGCAGAGGCCCGGCCGACTGGGCCGCCATCCGACAAATCAAGTGCGTGCCCTCGCTTCCCCCCCCCCCCAACCACCACTCTGTCCGCAGTGAATTGGGCTCACGATGGACTGTGTGCGAAACCGAAAAGAGAGGCGCTCTCGATACCGGTCGTGGCCAATGGCGGCGTCGATGAACTGGAGGACGTGGAGCGCTGCCTCAACGAAACGAAAGCCGACGCGTACTCGCTCACCTTACCGCCCTATGATGTGTGTCGTGTGCCGTGTGCCGTGTCGTGTGTCGTGTTGCGTGCGTTGGGTTGAGCTGAACAATCATCAATGATTGCAGGGTAATGGTGGCGTATCCGGCGCTGCTTAATCCTCGCTTCTTCGGCGGCGGTGAGAAGGCCGACGGGGTGGAGCTCCTGCACGAGTACCTGTCCTACGTAGAACGCTACCCGGCCCAATCCAAGACCATCAAATCGCACGCACGCAAGCTGCTCAAGCCAATGTACGCACACGACACGCACAACACGTGCGACACGACACATGACACACGGCACACGACGCACGACACGCACAACACACGCGCGTTTACGATGGGTCGGGCGCAGGTGGGGCAAACACAAGGACCTGCGGGAGCAGCTGGAGGCGTGGGACGAGCGGGACCAGGCCATCGCCTCGGTGGTCCTGCGAATAGCGCAGGAGCTCAAGTACCGCATTGACGTACGCGCCCACTACGCCACCCATCATCTTTCTCTTCTTCGCCATCTTCATCTCTTCCTCCTCCTCTTCATCTTTTCGTACCAACCCTGCTTGCTTGCATTCGCGTAGAACGGGATCGAGGTCGACCTCAAGCCACCAGAGGCCGAGCTCGAAGAAGGCGACGGCTACGCGCTCTTTGGACCTCAGGCCGACGACGACTACTAAAAATTAAAGATAATATTTAAATATCTCTTTCTCATTATTCACAATATTATTTGGAGTAGTTTTACAAGCCAATGGCCACAGCTCGGGGCCGACTCAGGGCGCGGCGAGTCGGGCGGCGCCGTCGTGGTCGTCGTCGCCCACCTGCCGCGCAAGGAAGTCCACGACATCGTTGAGCCGCGGCCGCTTGGCGGCGTTGGCGTGCCAGCACTTCTGCATGACCTTGCGGAACTCGGGCGGGCAGTCGTTGGGCACCGCCGGCCGCCGGCCCTCCAACACGTCGAGCGACACGCCCATGAAATTGCGCCCGGCAAACGGTTCCTTGCGGGTCGCGACCTGCCACATGATGATGCCGAACGAGAACACGTCGGCCCGCTCGTCGTAGTTGCGCTCGCCGCGAATGATCTCCGGCGCGGTCCAGCACGGCGTGCCGCAGCGGGTCATGGTCGCGTTCTCCTCCTTGATCCGCGCGAACCCAAAGTCGGCCACCTTCACGTTCCAGTTCTCGTCCACCTGTACACCGTGTGCGCGTGTGTTGTCAGACACCATCGCACACACCGACCGCACACGCGCGTCGCACACACCGCGGCCGCAGGAAGAGAGAGACGTACGAGGAGGTTGGAGGGTTTGAGATCGCGGTGGACGATGACGGGCTGGAGCGAGTGGAGGTAGTTGACGCCCAGGGCGGCGGAGCGGAGCAGCCGCAGCTTCTGGTTCCAGGTCAGCTTGACCGAGCTGGTGCCCAGGATGTCCTTCAGACTGCCCTGCCGCATGAACTCCGTCACAATGCATAGATTCGGCTTCTTCACGCACGCCCCTGCTCGCGTGTCGTGTCGTGTGTCGTGTGCGGTGAGTGTCGTTGTGCGGCGAGTGTCGTGTGCGGTGAGTGTCGTGTCGTGACAGTGTCTGACAGCACACGCACACGCACAACACGGTGAGGTGCGTACCGATGAAGAGAACGATGTTGGGGTGGTGCAGCTCGGAGAGGAATGCCATCTCGGCGCGGAACTCGAGCATGCGGCGCTCATCGAGCTTCTGCTTGATGAACCGCTTCACCGCCACCTCGACGCCCTTCCACTTCCCGCGGTAGACCACCCCGTACGACCCGAGCCCGATCTGCTTGCCCACCTGGATCTCGCCGTAGTTGATGATCCATCGGCACAGGTTGGCCGACGTCAGGAACGTGTCCTCCTTGAACATCATCCCCTCGCCCACAGTGGTCTGCAGCTGCTTACCGCCGCCGCCTACGCGCCTACGGCGACTGCTGGGGGGCTCGTCGTCGCTCCGGCTGGAGATGGTCGAGCCATCGTCGCCGTCGCCGTCGTTGCTGGTCTCCTTGGTGACGCCGCCGAAGAAGCGGCCCTCGAGCCCGACCACCTTCAGCTCGTACAGCTTGGCACCTGCGGGAGCTGACGTGTCAGCTTCAACAATCTTAAGAATGGCGATGACATCAGTAGCAAGATGCAGGGGGGGTACCGCCGGGCGCGTCGGGCATCTCAAAGTGGCCCATGGCGACGAGGCGCTCGCGCAAGTCGACCGGCGCAGGTGCGGCGGCAGTGGCGGCTTCGTCGTTTCCGGCGGCGGCGGGCTGCTCGTCGAGGTGGAGCCGCGCGTGGACGGCGTGGCTGAGCACGATCTGGCCGCCGTGGGTCATGGCCGTGATGCGCGCCGCGGTGTTGACCACCGGCCCGATGTACTCCACGCGCCGGGTCATCGGATCGCGCACCACCCGCGCCGACCCAAAGTGAACGCCCATTCGCACCCGCAGGCCCTTATATAACACGCTATTTGTGGAATGCAACACGCAACACGACACGCGCAGGTGAGCGAGTGAGAAAGAGAGTACGACACGCGCAAGGCACGATGATGATGGTGGGAGTACCGATCGTCGGTGTCGCCCCACTCCTCGGCGGCGCCCGGGTGCTCGAGCAGAGCCTCGGGCCAGTCGGCGGCC